GCAACAGTGTACCGGCCTGGGGCACCCCTCTTGGGGGCAACGCTGGGAAGGAGGTTTTGCAAGAGTTGGGGTGGTAGGCAGGAAGTAGGACCAGCCAGGGCTGGTCAGGGAGATAAGGACTCCCTGCCCCGCCCTTCAGATAGCTCCTCCAGGCCTCTGGTTTCCTCTTCTCTTCCCTTTCCCGGAAAGCAGTTCCTGGACCCTGGCCCCAGCCTCACCCAACTCCTGGCCTTGCCCCTGTGACTCACCTCCTTTCACTGTGGCAGCCAGACTGGGATCCAAGGCCCGCCTGCCACTCAGGAACCCTGCTGTGTGACTCTGGGCATTGGGGAACCCTATCTGGTTTGGCAGTTCCTGGTGTTCAGTAGCAGTGACTGGCATGAGAAGAGTTCTAAGGCCAAGCCTTCATCTGAGGAGTTAAAATGTGGGGTGATCCAGGGGCAGCCTCCCCCAGCAAGGCAAAATTGAGGTCCGAATGAATCCCACTGGCAGGTACAAGGTTGGTGTTTGTGTCGGAAGCATCCTGGACCTGGGTTGGGGGAAGGGTATTTCTAGAAATCAGGGCTTGGCTAGAGGATCCCTCAGCCGCCAGTATCAGAATCTGGCCTTTCCACAGCATTTTCTTTGTTCGCACCTGCTTCCAGACATTGCCTTGCTRTATGACCAGTTCTCTCAGAACTGGGTCACGTAGGATCCCACCTGGACCTCTMGGAAATGGAGGCTGACGGACCATCCTTCCAGGCTCCAGTTAGAGTTTTAAAATTGAGATGCCAAAATATGGTCATAAAAGCTGTGATATGTCTGTGTCCTRAAGATACATAGTTAAAAAATATATGCATATGTATGTGCATATGTACATATTGCATGTGTGTGTGTGAGTGTGTATGGTGACCAGGTATGATTATAATTATAATTGGAAATAAGATGAAAAGGCTAAATTGGACGTCCTTTAGGAATATGAGGTCTCTTATAAACCTGGTTCYGAACAATCTGATTTCTGGAAAAGTCCAAGTCCCAGTGTGTTCATAGGTGAGTCCCTCCTCTTCTCTGAAGCCTCTCTTTTGTCATCTGAATAGGAGTAGCCATGAGCCCCACAACAGATAGGCTGCTTACCCTTAGTAAGGTCCCCAAACATTCTATACCAACATCTACTAAGTGCCTGCGTGAGCCAGACAGGACTCTAAACTCTTTTTTTTTTTTTTTTTTTTTTTTTTTTGTGGTACTGAGGATGGAATCAGCACCTCACATAGGCTAGGCAAGGGCTCTACCACTGAACTACAGCCCCAGCTCCTTGTTTTGTTTTGAGAAGGGGTGTCACTCAAGAGATCAACCCTCCTGCCTCAGCCTCCCCAGAAGCTGAGCCTAACAGGGACCACCACCTGCCCATCTTAAGGGTGATAATTTTTTTTTTTTTTTGTACTGGGGATTGAACCCAGAGGCATCCTGTCACAGAGCTAATACCCAGTCCTTTTGAGACAGGGACTCCCTAAATTGCTGAGGCTGGCCCAACTTRCCATCCTCCTTCCTCAGCCTCCAGAGTTGCTAGGATTATAGGAGTGCCACCACAGGCCTGGTGGGGGAGGAGGAGGTTGTGGTAAGCTTTTTGAAAAATATTTTTTAGTTGTAGATGGACCATGATACCTTTATTTATCTTTATGTGGTGCTGAGGATTGAACCCAGTGCTTCATCCACAGGCAAACACAATAGCACTGAGCCAYGACCCCAGCTTTTTATGTGCATCAGGTCAATTGCTCCTGGAAGCCCAGGTTCTGAAACACATTTTCCAGATATGAACTGGGAGCTCATCAAGTGACGAACATCAACGCTGACACAAGCTGCCTTCTAATTTCCTCCCTATTAAARGGTTAACCTCTTATCATTACTGTTATTAGATTGAGCGTATAAGAGCATGTAAGAGTTAAGATTGTGAGGATTAAATGAAATGATATTTTAAAGAGCTTACTTAGTATAGCACCCAGCAGATAATAAACACTCTATAGGTGTTAAATAAAAAGAACTTAAGAGCCACACGCGTTGGCTGCTCAGTGGCTGAGGCAAGAAGGATGGCAAGTTCAAGGCCRGCCTGCAAAACTTAGGGAGACACTGTATGAAAGGGACTGGGCATGTAGCTCAGTGGTAGGACTCCCCTGGGTTCAATCCCCAGCACAGCGGGGGCGGGGGGGTAGGAGAAGGAGAAGGGCAAGTCCAGTGCCCAAGGAACTTTGTCCTAGAGTTTCTCGGTGTCTTCACCCCAGCTGCTGGCTGGCCCCGTCCAGGAGGGGTTAAGGCGTTAATGATTTCCAAAGTAGCAGGGTTTTGTGCGCTCGCAAGGGCGCGCGCACGCAGACACACACACACACACACACACACACACACACACACACACACACACACTGTCCCCTCCCTCCCTCTGCGAGGCCGGGAGCCTCTTATGCAAGCCGCCGGCGCCCGCGTTCCCAGGCCCGGCTGCAGCTGCGGGCGGAGGGCAGGGCGGGGGCGGCGCGCTGTTTGTCTAGCTCGGCGGTGCCAAAGACGGCGAGCCCCAGACAGCCAGGCGCCTCCGTACACCTGGGGATGCTCAGGTTAAATAGCTCCGCATTCCTCGGGCCCAGCTGATGGAAACGCTCCCAGGCCGCCGCCGAGTCGGCCTCCAGATGGGCTGGGCCCGGGCCAAAGGGGAAGAGAGAGAAACGTGGAATCCAGAGTGGGCCTGAATGGCGGGGGAGGTGGCCGGGGCCCTGCCGCAGCCCCTTCCTCCCCTGGACCCAGGCCCTGCATGTAGGAGTGCGCGCAGGGGACACGCCCACGTCCCCGTGGGTGGGCTTGCGGGCGGGAGTGAGGGGGAGCCCACACAAGGRAGGCAGTGGGTGTCCACGTGTGCCTCTGAGGACACTCCAAGGACACACAGACAATTAGTAATTTATAACTGTCAAAACAGTACGTGCCAAGCACTGTGCTCMGTTTTACTTGATTTCATTTATTCTGGACAATTTTATAAAACAGYAACGGGCAGGGAGTGGGTAGCAAAGGACTTAATTTACCTACAAATACCATTTTCTTTGATGAAGTCYATACAATTTTTGTGGGTGGTACCTGACTTAACGTTAGTGCTCAATCACTACTACTTTTAAATTTTGTTTTTGCTCATCCTCTTCCGGAGCTGGTATCTTTTGTTGCAAAACTGCAGTCACAGTCCTACCGTTAGCTCCACAGGGATCCCTGAAATCCTTTATGTAAATGGTGGAGTCAGGCCTCTGGTTCCAGGTGCTGTTTAATCTATTTTGTTCTTGGACATAATGTCTCTGTAGTCCTTACCCTCCCTGGGACAAGTTATTCGCCCTTTCTGGGAACTCTTTCTCTTTGTATAACAGGAAAGTTGACTTGATGGGAATATTGGAGAATTGGTGTCCCCAAGCCCAAAAATTGCCCAGGGATTTGGTACTTGGATTTCTGAGGAAGGGTTTGCCCGAACGTAGCTGCCCCTATCCTACCCTAGACTTGCAGAGGCCCAGGAATGCCAAGCGATTTATAGTTACACACACACACACACACACACACACACACACACACACACACACGCCCCCCAACACAAGATCCCATCCATCAACCCAGACCCATGCAGAGATGCCCAACATGCATTTAGGCAGAACATACAAGCCCAAACAGCTGGAGGTTGCACACTTATCTACAGAACACATGTGCTTGCATTTACCCTTCCACACCCCCCCAAACACAACCTTACTTACACCCCCAGGCCTGTACATGAGTAGATGACCCAACCTCTTAGAGAAGACTACCAGTTTACTCATGTCACATATACAAGCCCAGACACTTAATGCACCCCACCCCCTCCCCCCAGAGCACAAACCCACATGTCCAGGCAGATAGGCCTTGCCAATGACACCTTTTTCCTGCTCAGGAGCTAGGGACATGACTCGCCCACTCCTTCTCAGAGCCCACAGTAGCCCCAGGGCAGTGCTTGGTTTGAGCTGCTGGCACAGCCAGGCCAGGGTGAGGGGGCTGAGTCCCAACACGGAGCAGGTGGCCCAGCAGCTGTGCACAGGCTGGCCTTGCCAACTTGATCACCCACTTGGACAAGCTGAGAGCCCCAGGGCAGATTGCTGGCACCCAGGGAGAAGTGGCCTGCTGGGGGAGGCACCTCCTACTGGGGAATAGGGAAAAAGAAGCTTCTGCTTCAGAGAAGTTATGACCCCTGGGCAAGTCCCTTTCCACCGAGTCTCACTTCCAACATCTTGGCTGAGACAGATGGTCCAGTGACCTGGTTCTCCAACTTGAATGGCTTCAACACTCCCMACCCTGAGGGGGCCTCCACAGGTTCATCTGCATTTTAACAACCTCCCCAGGTGATCCAGATGGCCCAGTGACCACTTTGAGAGAAACCCTAGAGGTCTAGAGGATTTAATTTTATGACACTGGGGAGAAGGGAAATGGCCAGGGATGGTTAAGAATAGACTTTAAAGACACCGGAAACACTCATTCAGGTCGGTAACAGTGACAGTCCAGATGTGGCCCTCCAGTCCCCCTCCTCTGAGCACCAGCTGTGAAAAGGGTCAGAGGTCAACCCACAGCCCCTCCCCTCAATCCAAGAAATCATTGCGACTTTACCACCATCTAAAGTATTTGTTTAATAACAAAACCAAAAAACAAAAMMAAAAAAAAAAACACCCCCACAGMACTATTGTAAAACAATATTCTCAGTCGGTGATCATTGTAATATACAATACAAAGCAATTTCCTCAGAAATCTGAGAAGCACCAAACGTGACCATTTTTTAAAATGTCTGCTTTTCAAAAAATAGAAACACACGGGGGAACCCCCCAAAGTCTCTGGCGGCTGGTAGATGTGGAGAGAAGCCTCCCCTCGTCAGTCTCCCAGCCCTGGGCCGGATCTGCAAAGGCCCGAAGGTCGCCAATCCGTCTTGCTTCCCCCAGTTCCCGCGAGGCTCCTGGGGGGAACCGAGAGCACTTTTTCCTCTTGCCTCCTGGAGGGCTGGGGTCCACCGATCCCTGCGGGCGGCGCTTCAGCGACACAAGATGCGATCGTCCGCTGGAACACATGCTGCCTGTGAAAAGGACAGAAAGAGGGGATGAGATCCGGCAGGTTGGAGGGGACACGGCTGCAAGCGCAGCAGGCGCTCTCTCTTCCCTGGGCATCTCGGCAATGCCCGGTGCCCGAAAGGATGGGGCGGACATCGTACAAATCCCCCCCTCCCCTTGCCTCACTTCCCAGTCGTGAGAGGACAATCTGGTACTCCAACTCGATGCTCACCTCGGCCGCTAAGGCGCTGATTTCGCCGTTCAGGGTGCTGAGCGGAGCTCTGACCGGCAGCCCTCGGCCCCCGGGGGTCCCGACTTCGGATTCCGAGTTCAGCTCCAACTGCAGATCCCTGATGTAGTCGATGACGTGCTGAAGGATCTCCACTTTGCTCACTTTGCGGTTCTGGGGCAGGGTGGGCACCAGCTCCTTGAGGCGCGAATAACAGCCGTTCATGTCGTAGAGCAGCACGTTCACCTGCTGCTCGTCCAGCAGGACTGGCAGGCGCGCCCCGGCGCCGCGCGAGATGGCCACGCTCTGCTCCGACAGGCAGCGCATCACCTCGCCCGCGCCGCCCGCCGTCTTGCCGGCCTTCAGGGTGCAACTGGGACCCGCGGCGGCCGCGGCACTGCCACTGGCAACCTTCATGATTCTCGAGACTGGCTAAGTCGAGAGGTGAGGCGGAAAGAGGAAGAAGACCCTGGGAACTGGGAGCTGCCAAGATAAGAAGAAGGTAGTAGAATGTGGGACGTGGGCTCCAGAGCCCGACTTTTATAGGGACGCCGCGCCCCCCCAGGGGTGGGCCCAGAACGTTCAAAAGCAGCCAATGGGCGATAAGGGGGCGGGGCCTCGAGCACTCTCGAGTCCCGCCCCCTGCCCAACTAGTGCACCCTCGCATTAGTGGAGGTTAGTGGAAAGGCGACCGAATCCCAGAACAGGGAGAGAGAGGCACTGGCCGAGTGGCTATTGGAGGTGAGGGCTGTCTTGGACTCTTCTGGAAGGAGACAAGGAGGCAAAATCGGTATTGCCGAAAACGAAAAGACCACAGGATTTAGTTTTCCTCGTTTTCTCACCTCTCTAACTCCATTTTACAGATGAGAGAAACTGAGGCCTGGGCGGAGAAGTGGCTGGCTCTGGGTCGCCCAGAGTGTCCAGGACTAACTCAAGGTTTCCAGATCCTCTTGGAAGATTGCCTCTCGGACCCTGATCTCCAAATTTCAGGAAGAATTTTTAAGTGGAATCTCTTGGTTTTTGTTTTTCCGTCCCCCCCACCCCCACTCCCGGCCCTTATTGGGGACTGAATCAATGGACATTCTTCCACTGAGCCACACCCCAGCCCTTTTATTTTGGAGACCAGGTCTCGTTAAGTTGCCCAGGATGGAYTCAAACTTGGGGTCCTCCTAGCTCAGCCTCMCAAAGAGCTGGGATTGTTCAAGGCGTGCGCCGCTGCGCGCGGCTAAAGTGGGCGCAACTTCGCGCTCAATTCCCAGGGCTGGTCTTTCCCAATCCCCAGAGATTATGGCTGCTAATGTTTCTACCACCAGAACGGCCTACCCAGGTCCCTTGAGGTGGGGGCAGTTAATTCGGGGAAGTCCTCCTGAGTTGAGGATGATGCTTCTGGACCTAAACTAGATGGAAGGAACTTGGTGGAGTGGACCTGCATTCCCCSGGGTCCTACCCTGAATGCAGTCCCTGCAAAACCCACCAAATTTACAGCAACTAGCGATTTTTAATTTTTCTCCCTTTATTAGCTAGCTTTTCTTCCCCCCTTAAAACCTCGAAGCGGGGTCTCCCTCCCACAGCGCGGCAGCTGCGGAGATCCAGTCTCCCCCTCCCCTTCCCGGGCCGGTCTGTGTCAGCGTCTGAACAAGCGGCTCAGACCGTTAGACGCCAGGCGCGTGACGTCACCCATTCATAAAACCCGGACGGGCTGTCAGGCTGGCGCCGCGCGGGCGGTCGCCATGGAGACGACAAACTGGGCTAGAGCGTTCCCTGCTCCCCCCGCGAGTCACCTGCAGACCCTGAGCGGGAGGCCTGGGAATGTGTTCCTCGTGGGTGCGGTCGGTCGCTGGGCAAGGGTCACCTTACCTCCCCGYCCCACACCTGCGAGGCTCCCCCACCCAGCCTCACAGCTTGGCCCGCTTGGGAGTTTTTCTCCTGGCCTCACCACCCCAACCCCCGCTCTCCGCTTGAGCCTGGGGAAGGAGGCCTGACTCCAGCTGCTGTGGATGACCATTTATTGCGTTCTCGCGTGGGACCTGCACCGGGAAAAGAGCTTGCCATTATCATCTTCTGTAGTCCTCTCCACAACTCCAACGACTAGAGTTATTTGGTGGTTTTTGTTTTATTTTGTTTTTAAATACAAAGGAGACTTTAAAAAACCTCCCCAAAGCCTGAGCTGCTGTGATGGCTGCATTGTTGTAACAAGGACACATTATTGTCATGCAGCCCCTTCTTGCCTAGGGCAGGGAATCTGACTCCTGAGTCCTAGGCTTGTCTCAGCAGGGACAYGAAGGCTCAGGATAGTCACTCCAGCCACCCCATAAGCAGGAGTAAATTATGGAATTCACCTAGGGGAGGGTGGCCTTATAGTCCTTCCTCTCCCAAGTAACTAATTCAGCAGTTATCAGCAGGTTCCCTTTTCCCACAGATGATTGGGGAGAGAACAACAAAGAAATCAATCCTCTGCCCCTACATCAGGAAACCAGGAAAACTGATCAGTAAGACCAGCTTCAAAGGAGAGAGACAATAATCAATTAAATAGCTGGACTCCTCGCCCACTTATCACACACCCCACTACCCTGCGAACTCTCTAGGCCTTGGTTAGCAATTCCCTAGTGAGGGAGACAGCACCGTGCTCCTTAGAAGAACTGGAAGATTGGTGGTCAACTAGAGGAAATGGAAGCATTCATTCATTACCACGGGTTTGCTCCTTGACCCTGAAATTCCACTTGCTGCAGTCAATTCCAAAGAAATCACGGGACAGGCACAAAGATGGCTGCTCACGCATGTTCACTGCTGTATGCAAATGAGTTAACTTCAAATGACCTAAATGCACGCTGGACAGTGGCATTCTTCGAACTATGAATGGAGCATCAATGCTTGGCCTGGCTGTCAAGCAAGTGGGAGGTGTGGCTCTGAGAGAGCTGGCCTGGAGTGCAGCGCAGTGGTAGAGCTCTTGCTTGGCCTAGCATGTGTGAGGTCCTGGTTCAGTCCCCAATGCTGCAAAAAGTAAAGCTAAAATAGCCAAAAAAGATACACACTAAAAAACTAATAGGGTTTCCATTGCAGAGAGGGGTGAGAGGGAGAAGCCAACCAGTGTGAAGTAGGAATTTTGCATACGCGCATGATCAGGGGCTGGGGTGGTCATGCACACAGGCTGAAGTTTGTGCAGGGTCAAATTTTGTATGCAGAGCATGTGCCCTACCACTGAACTGCTCCTCCAAACCCTTGTCTTTACATAAATCCCCACCTCACCACTGGGGATTAAACTCAGGGGCACTGGACCACTGAGCTACTTCCCCAGCCCTTTTTATTTACTTATTTTTATTTTGAAACATATATTACCCTGGGGCTGGGGATGTGGCTCAAGCGGTAGCGCTCTGGCCTGGCATGTGTGCAGCCCGGGTTCGATCCTCAGCACCACATACCAACAAGTATGTTGTGTCTGCCAAAAACTAAAAAATAAATAAATAAATAAATAAATTTTTTTATTGTTGGTCGTTCAAAACATTACATAGTTCTTAATACATCATATTTCGCAGTTTGATTCAAGTGGGTTATGAACTCCCAATTTTACCCAGTATACAGATTGCTGTATCACATCAGTTACCCTTCCATTGATTGACAT